ACATTTATGGTTCATTGGCATTTATTGGAAATAAAATATGATTCTTACATATATCATTGTATAAATCAAGTAAATGATCTTTACTAGGAAACTAGGAAAATATTTTGAGCTTATTTGATCTTTACCCATAACTCACCCATTATCGCCAGTTCCAGGATGTCATTTCTGTATTAGTTAGGGAAGTGTCATTAGTTAGCCCATATATTAGACATGCATTTTAGTTGTCTCTTTCATTACTGTTATCTGTTCATGTTGATTTTTACGCTTGTATTACAACTGTCGGTTATTGTCACTTTTTGTTAAGTCAATTGAAAATGTGTTTCTATAGTCAATATGGAGAGAATTATGATGGTGGAGAATTATATAGGTTTACATACTCTAAGGCTGATGTTTTATTGTAGACCATGCCCTACCTTTACTTTGTCTTATAGAAAAATGAACTCTACTTTAAAACCTCACCTATGAGTAACAGGTTTAATGGTTCCGGCATCTTATCAAAGGATAAATAAACTATTGCAATTATGATGTCATTGCATATAAATACAATTAAAAATAGAAATGCCAGATATTTATAATTTATAAGATTCATCACAAAATTGTTATTTCACCCCAATCAAAGTTATATACTGAATGATATGTGATCAATATATAAACTGAAATATTTGCATATTTCATGAATATAGACAACCTCGGCTCTTATCTCGAAAGGACATATTTGATTGTTGGTTTACCTGGGATGAATATTAATCCCATGTTTAACATGTTACCAGAATATCAATTCTTTGAGTTAGTTCTCGTGAGAATAGTCACAATTTTAGCGGAAATATCAATTTAGACTGAAGTATGTTAAGTCAATGTGTCCGGTCTTTATCATGTTCTTTCTTAATTAGATACAAGTCAGGCATGTAGTTCTGTTGTTTTTGCCAAATGACAGGGTTCGTTTTGTCAAGTTATATAGCTTTGTTTGCAATTAAGTGGTAGATCACATCTTGATATAGGTCATCTATGCATCTCTGTTCATTTGGCTCGCATTGCTCAACTTTATTTATTTAGTGTAACATTCATGACAAATTCTGGTATATAGTGAATGTCACTCACATATTGGCTTGCGCACCAATTAACACTCAGCATTTTAAAACACCCTGCATTTTAAAAATAGACACTCTCTCCAAAACGATTGCGTTTGTTTTCATTTAAAATCTTTGCTTCCTCATCAAAAAAACAAATTTGAGGTGATCAGTAATGTAGTTGATGTTTCAGAGAAGACAAATATGAGAAAGTGTCTTGTAATGCAGGGAAGACTGAGAATGCAATGAAGCATTCTATTTGCATTATTTAAATATTGTCTCAAAAAGTGAACCAGAAATACTCTGGCCATTCTATATTGAAAGCCCATGTTTCAATGTCTGGTTAGTCTTATGTACCGCCTATATTTCAATTTCAACTTTGTATTAGAAAGGTGGAGTACATAGGGATTTATACACAGTCTTGATACAAGACTAATATCTAGTTTTCTTGGTTAGGTCTCATTCATTCCTAATTGTATTATATGTAATGTTCAGTAATCAGCCATCAGCAAGCTTTGCCTTGTCGACAAGTGAACACCCTATGTGAGTTTGGAGTAAATGTCAGATTTAATCATAAACTAGTTATCAAGTCTCATCAGAACTTTTAATTAAGTTGCAAAATATTACTAAGGCAGGGGGTCTCGCCTTAGAGACCACTCAAAGTCATACGATTGTCTCCAGGTACATTTAGTCTTTGCCTTGGTCACATTTGCTCCGATCCATTGGCTGGCCCCGGCCGATTGAGTGTTTTGTTCAATATTGTATTCAATTTTGAACAAAATACTCAATCGGCCGGGTGCCGTAGTGAAAATCGGGGCAAATGTGACCAGGGCATTACTTATATAAAATACTATATACCCTTGCTGCAAGGATGTAGTTAATGTGACTACTTAAATAGTTAATGTGACTATTTAAATAGTTTATGTGACTACTTAAATAGTTAATGTGACTACTTAACTTTGACATTCCATGACCTCACCTAAACCATCCAACCAGGGTTGTATAGATTATATTCTGTTATTCTATTGATCCCACTCTGCATCTGCAGTTGATAGTTTTGTATAACCTCTCAACCTAAACTTGTGCCTGGGTCATTCATATTTTCCTTGGCCTTTCTCTCTAACTTTTCAAAGCATTTTTTGATTTTTTTGTATTACTATACAATTTAGGGTATTTAGATTCAACCTGTTTATTTTGTATAATATTGGCTTTTTGTTGTCATCGTTTTTATACTTAACATCTGCGATTATCATGTCATTATTTTCTTGGGTTACTACCAGGGTTCGTTCACACATTGAAGAGCATTTCTATGTAACATTCGTAGAAATAGCCTAGTATTTATCATTATAATGCTCTAGGTAGACACACCAATCAATATTGTCCATTTACATTTGTAGATCATAGAACGATCATTCCCTTGATGCAGATATTGATATGGTGTATCGTGCTACCGATTAAACTCTCCTTCCAAATTATGATTCTCTGAAATACTATGGAGAGGATCTTTTCCAGGAAGCAGTTTTTACTTATTATTACCACATTGCTGGGTCTGTTATAAGGGTATAAGTACTCGTTTAGAAGGCTTATATTTTACTATATTGGCCTGAGCAATATGTGACGTCATAGTGTTGGGCCATAATGGCGGGTCAAAATAGATATTTCAGCCTGGTAACGTTCTCCGGAAATAGGATATTGTTCAGTGTAGTTAATTTTTGTTCAGTGGCAATCTGGTCTTGCTATTTCAGCCCTGGGCATTAGGTGGTAATAATGGTAAATAACCTCATTTCAGCTGGCCTTCAGCCCTTGGTCCATTATATCACTATATCGCCCTTTGAAATGAGGTCATTGGTATATTGCTAACTCAAAAATGATAGATGTGCCAGGTTCAATTTTTAAAATATTGCAATTGACCCATTTTTTATATTGTGTTCACCGTGCTGATTGGGATTTATCATGTTATCACTTGATTGACTCTTGGTGAAGTGTTATGCTATAAAAGTATTTTATCTCAAATGTTTTTGGTTCTTATCTCACCGAGTTAGAAATCAACACATTGATTTATGTTATACAACAAAATTAAAGACAAATGAATTGTTTCCCCATCAAATCCTTTTATGGCATCACCCAAGTTTCAAGGGGAAAGTTTCATGAAATATGATTAAAAATAAATTGAGGAAACTGACCTGTTTTTGGGGATGAAAAGCAAATTATTTTGAAAATGAACAGTCTCTTTTGGATCAAATCAAACAAAATTCAGCTGATAATAACGTCTATTCTTTAAAATGTTCCTTCATTTTTTTTTGTCAAACAATAGGTTTATTTCATTGCAAGATTCCATTTTACATAATACATGATCGAGTGGCAAATTTGCTTTTGGCATTTTAAACCTGCTTTCAAATACATCTGTATAAGAAAAGTATAATACAAAACACACCCATTTTCCTTCATTCAACTTGATGCTGTTTGAGACATTCAAGACCATTTGTATTTTACTGTGATCTATTGATTTGTCAAAGGAAATCGTGTTGTCTTTCACACCCAATAGACATCCTATGGATAATGTATATATTTATTTATTGGTGATGTTACGGAAGTGCTGAGGTCTCAGCAATTTCTAATAGAGAATCAATTAAAGATTATACATGTTATGATGATATAATTCCAACTTAGTAAATATATATTACGAAGTAGATGTTAGACATGTCTTACAATGTTATTACCAAAATCATACCACATTTACTTGTTAGATATTTTGTAAAGGGCCAAAAGCTGTTAAAAAATGAGTTATCTACTCGATGAAACTGCACTGCCTGTTTTATGTATTGATTCTACCATACTACAGATCAGTATGGGCCCATGGGTCTGATTCCAAACAATAGATTATCATTATTGTACCTCACCCCTGGAAATATGTCCTGGGACTCTGGTGCAGCATGGAGAGTTAAAGATTAGTGCATTTCGATTGATATAAGACAAATGATTTATCATCAAGTGTTACGAGAACATAGTCAGGCATGAAAGGAAGTGTTTGAATTGATGAATGTAATAAATATTGATGCTGTATCTGGACCTGTTGTCTTGTCAATAAGATGCTGTATCTGGACCTGTTGTCTTGTCAATAACATATAGTGTAGTAAATATGTGGACAACTCAGTGAATCCCTCAAATTTACTCCCTCAAATTTAAACTGTTTTTGTTAGTTTAAGCATGGGTTTTCAAGAGATGTTGCTGAAAGCCCATGGTTTAAGGTTTAAGATGTTCTGTTGGCTCCAATTTTGTCATAGTAGCCCCTTATTGGGGGAGAGGGGGGTTGTGTTCAAAATTGTACTTACGATCTTAATAATGGATGTGTTATTGGATAAATCAATGAGGTTGCACCACCACTGGTGACATATTGTTATAGTCTCCAACTTTTTTGTGGAAAGTTTATGGCATTCAGCGTAAGTCATTCAATGGTCGGTGTCTGTAACAAATTCTTACTACTTCTAATAACCATTTGCAGGTGTTGCTATTTTGTCAAGTTAGTGCCTTGTATATGTTTAAGATGATCAGAGTGTTGTGTTTATTTCCAAAATGGATATATATCACATCCTGTTTTTATCACTATAGGTAAACTTAAAGGAAGATAAAAGACTCACCTGAGCCTTGTATCTAAAAAATAGTAAAATATGATTTCTAAAATAATACTCTCTTTCGTGATATTGGAATGATGATATCATGAAAGACAAATGAATTTTGCTAATTGTAATTTACATTATTTTTTCTAAGAATTCCTGATGAACCATGGTGATTAGATATTTGTATAAAGTCTGAAAGTTTGTGTAAAGTCGAAAAATTAAGTTGATTAAATTTAACCATGATTTTATTTTGATCAAATTATTTTTGTTTGAAATTCAACATCCTGGCATTAAATGTTTCTTCTTGTATTTTCAGTCACTGGAGAGTACCCGGCGTATGCTGGCGCTTGCTGAAGAGGTAAGAACTTATTGAGCAACCCTCATATTTTCAACTCAGTGATGAGCTATAATGGTCATCTTACATTCTTGGCTCTTGCACATCCCTTGTACATATATGTCTGACCATGTAAAACATCATGACAATTATATTTGCAATACTTTTTGAACACCCATAGTATGTCCAACCCAGTAAACAGATATGATTTGCGGAACCTGGGATTGACATATTATCTAATATGTTCATTCAATGAGGCAAAACTTATTGAACATCCCTTGCATGTGCAGCCATTTAAAAGTTGAACAAAATCATCAAGTTTCAAGAAAATTAAAGACTTGTAGATACTTGCCTCCTATAACTTATAGCATGAAACTTCTATAAGGGAATTTCTCAGCTGTAGAATGATTTAATTCATATGACAAAGATAATTTTTTTTTCACATGACTTATTCAAGTGCTTCGCTATTAAAATTTCATATACCCCATATACCCCCTTATCCCTCACTTTATTTTTCAAAAACCAATGAACATAGCTTCCAGATTGACTCTTAGCTTTATTTGAAACCACTGATTAAAAATCATAAAGGCTCAAGATCTAAAGGTCAAGGCTTTAGACTGAGCCCCAAGACTTAAATTCAATGAAAAATCTGATTTATAAGATTTATAATCCTGTGTCTGACAAAATATCTCAAGGGAGGGAAGGCTCATGGTTAAAAGTTCAAGCCTTTAAACTGAGCCCAAGACTTTAATTCAATGAAAAATAGTGACTTATAAGGGAGAAAATCCTGTGTCTAATCATGGACTTTCAATAGTCTTTTGAATGCCCATGGTCTAATAAAATATCTTGAGTATAAAGGTCAAGCCTTTAGATTAAGTACCAAGACTTTAATTCAATAATTAATTCTTGATCCATTCTTAACTATACCTATGGTGATATTATTAATTGCCTATTGTGATGTTTTGATTAATGATGGCAAGTTCATTGTGTCTATATGTAGGGTATTATCTCAGACGGTCTCTCTATGTGTGAAGAGTAATTATTTCAAGGGTGTCATGATAGATAATAGAAACACTTCTGTGAGTATCAGGCAATCGCTTTATTAAGTGTCAGAGACTGATCTGGGAATCCAAAATATAATTTCATCTTCCTAAAATAAGAATTCAAGCACAGTTTACAAAATTTTTGCTGGTATTAGATAAAAAACAATTATCATTAGAATGAAATAATTCCCAGTTGTATATTATATTTATATGTTTTACAGTCTATTTAGATTATTTATATAAAATAAACTTTTTATAGTTTCATTGGTGTTTAGTCATGTAAAACAATTTTGACGAAACCTTGTATATCCCAACATGGATTCTAAACTAATTCGAACATGATAAATCGTTTGGGCTTTTAGATGAAGTGAATCCATCAATTTCTCCCGGAAATAATTGTGATTTGGAAAGGTCAGATGCAATTTTATTCCTATTATGACACAAATTAGATTTGATAGAACAAACTGTGAGATAATTCATGGGCAAATTTGATATTTGGAATGTTACAACATTCATATCAATATAAAGTAGATTTGCTCTCTGAAAAGCTTTTGTATAACTTAATCTGATCGGTTCCTCGCTTGATGATTCACTAGATTACTGTCAGGCCCATAGCCAGGGAAGTGGGAGAGGGGGGGGGGTGGTCCCATGAGTTTGAGTGATCCCCCTTGTCAACTTTTTTTTTAAATCATGCAGTTTTCACCATTCTGAGCACTTTTCAAGTTTGATTTTGGGCCAAAGTTGTCAAAGTGAACCCCCTGGGAATTTTTGTTTTTAAGCCTCTTTTATTTGGATACCAAGATCTGTCCATCACTGTCACAAATATGCATAAATAGCATTTTCGGTTGCTATGGCAATATCACAGGCTGGTATCGAAAGATTTGTCCGCTGTGACGGAGCATGCTATTTTTCATAAAAACACTAAGAATGCTTCACGATTTATTTTTTAACTCGTATGTTTCGTTATATCAAAGATAATTACTTACTCCATGCAATGGTTATATAACATTTGCGTGTAACCTTCACTTCTGTTTGAAGTCCAATAACGCTAGGAGTAAAATCTATTGAAAACGGCGCCAGAGTATCAAACTCTAAAATGTACCATTTATTTATTTTTTATTTATTAATATTTTTTGTCCGCTGTGACGGAGCATTTTCACAGTTCATATTTGCAACTGCTCCGTCACAGCGGACAAAAAAATTAAACATTATTTTTTATAAAAGATTTAAAAAGACCAAATACATCATCATCTCATTTATACCTTCATAGTTATACTGAAACCATGTGTAAATATTATCGTGTCACTTTATCGTGCCATTAGAAAGTTAAACAAGAAATGGTACATTTTGAAGTATGATACTCCGGTGCCATTTTCAATAGCTTTTCTTCCCAGCGTAATTGGACTTCAAACAGAAGTGAAAGTTACCCGCAAATGATATATCCATTGCATGGAGTAAGTAATTTTGTATGGTATAACGAAACATATGAGTTAAAAAATAAATCGTGAAGTATTCTTAATGTTTTTATGAAAAATAGCATGCTCCGTCACAGCGGACAAATATTTCGATACCAGCCTGTGAATATTTGATTGCTATTTTAAGAACCAAGGATGTCAGCATTCTCTTTTATACTCTAGTATGATAAAAAGTTTGATGAACTGTTATAATTCTAATGCAATGGTACGTTGACATCACCAATGATTAACAACGGCATTGAAACAAAACAAACTGATTTAATCAAAACTAACATCTTATATCTCAATAACTTAATAAATGTCATGGTAACTCTGATATGAAGGCATTCTGACTTTCATGCTATGTTTGGCTAATGCCAGTTGAAGTGAAGCTGTCTCTGAGAAGATCAATGAGATTTAAATGCCCCCGATCTGTTTATGTGGCGTAAAACATGATTACAAATCAGTGATGTGGTGCACTTCACTTCTTCTCGACATAATTTTGTCACGTTTTATATTTTGGGAATTGTTCGAGATGGATGGCTTGAGGGAAGAAGTAAATTAGTTTGATAATATTTGAATTTTGTTTATATAACATGATTCAGTTATATGGTGACCTCACTCAGTATATTGTTCTATTCTACAACTTACGACTCTTAAATATTTGCTGTAAATTATTTTGAATATGACCAAAGATGGTAAAGAGAAATTCAATTTTATCGGAAAATATCAAAGTAAGTTTAGTAGGATAATAAACATTAGAATATGAGTAGGATTTCATTTGTACAAAAGCCATTCGCTATCTCAAATTATTTAAAACTTTTTTTACACATTTATCTGATATTAACAGAAACTAATGATATATAAAACATAAAAAAAACTTCTACTTTATCAATGACAGTATCCTGTTCTATATCTTGCTCTTGTTTTTCTAACTGCCTTTTCCCACCCAATATTAATGGTCCAAAAATAAATTCTTGATGAATTAGACGTCCTCACAGACATGTTTTTATGACTACAAGAGCATCAAACAATCATTAAAGGGGACGTGACCTTTACCATTTTAGCTTTAACAGTTCTGTAGGTTGGCTAAATAAAAAGGATATTAATCAGTGATGTTTTTTCACCCACAGTATATGGTACACTATCAGTGAGATATAAAATCCATAATGGTTTCTGTATTTATTATTATTTGGGACTGCGTTTATGATTAATGGATCAATGGATCCTCAAGCAAAATATGTTTTCTAGAACAATTGATTGAAATTTATTTGGCAATTCATCATCATAATTCAAACCAACTACAAGAGACCAAATTTTTGAAGTCTTCACCAATCCCAAATTATATTTTCTGTGATATTGCACAGGTACAGTCAATTTTGTTTTTCTGAAGGTTCGCTCTTGAGTTAGAATATTATTTAATAACTATTCGTAATTCCAGCCATGAAAGTTAATCAATTCACGTATCACGGCACCAACTCTAAACCAAATACCAAGTCAACCGTAACCTAACAAAAATGCCAGATTCTTCATAAAACCTCTACAAAACCATCATTAATGGTATAAATGTGCTCTAAACTGATGCAATCAAATTTTATCTCCATTATTGAAATCTATCTGCAGTAAATAATAGGAGTTATGGTCTTTGTGAATGAACATTCTAATGATGAACGAACTTTCTAATAAAGGGGGATTATGTTACCTATTAAAATAATACAATTGTAAATTGATTTATTTAGATTTAAATGATAGTGAATAATAAAAAATTAATGTATAATTTAATTTTTGTGTCTGTTTCTGTCTGAAATGTTTTCTCCATGATTTTTGTTCAGTTGGGAGCAGCATTTAAAAAAATGGCCAATACTGTCAAAATAACCTCAAAGTTTCAAATAGGCGAACATATATGTTCAAGCGGGTGTTAAAGGTGATCCTAAAATGGGTGCATCACCTGTTACTTCAATTCAAGTGAAAACATTGGTTGGAAAGTGTCATGGTCGGATGTTTGACGATGGTCGATGTTAAAGAAATTGCTAACATGGTGAAATGCAGTGGAGCTCACATCAACACTCCATTTGAAAAATAACTTAAACATACAGAAAACAATTAAAAGATTATCTTGAAATGATTTTACACGCTAAAATAGAGCATTCGTTAATAGAACTAATCAATCGTATAATGCATGACGTCAAAGACATACAATTTGGTTAAGAACAATAAATTAACCATCAATCAAACGAATCCCCATCGTGCCATTTATTTGATAATGTCAACTTTTCTTTTCATTTTCTAATTAGGTCAGTTCGTCCCAGAGAAGTAGTTCTAGCTTGATGGAAAGCATAAGACATCACCTCACAGGGGAGATTTATTGGCGAATATTTATGAGGAGTTGCAACACATTTTTCACTATGACATGACTTTTTATTTTTACAGTAATTCCTGTGTCGTGTCTGATCTTTATTCGTGGTTGATCTTTATTCCCTGGTGTATCTACCCAAGGTTACCGACTCCATTGCATGCAGAAAGCTGCTCTCAAATGGATACTCACATTGCTATATATATATATATTTTGTAGGGTTATATTGTATCCTGGAAAATTACTGGATTAAATATTTTAGATCCTCTTATTTGGGAGAAACAGAGCTGGGTATATTGTGCATTGTATAAAAATGTTTAAATTAATTTGCTATACTACTCGTATTCTACCCTGGCCACCTTTGCTGAATAATCATGAAATTTTATTTTGAAATTATGTGTGAATCTAAATTGTTTCCCCTTTTGCAAAAGTTGGGTTAATATACAATACCACACATTTTCAAACGACTAACATTAATATGGGTACCATTCAGAACCAGTGTTAGCTTGCTCATGGTATCAAAGCTGATGTGAGCTGATGTGAGGGAGTATATATGGGACTATACATGTGAGGGACTACGCATGTGGGGGACTTTACATGTGAGGGACTATAAATGTTAGGGACTATATATGTGAGCGACTATACATGTTAAGGACTCTATATGTGAGGGACTACACATGTTAGGGACTACATATGTGGGGGACTTTACATGTGAGAGACTACATGTGTGAGGGACTATACATGTGTGGGACTATACATGTGAGGAACTACACATGTGAGGGACTATACATGTGAGGAACTATACATGTAAGAGACTTCATATGTGAGGAACAATACATGTTAGGGACTACATATGTGGTTACATGTGAGGGATTACACGTTTGAGGGACTATACATGTGTGGGACTACACATGTGAGGGACTATACATGTGAGGAACTACACATGTGAGTGACTTCATATGTGAGGGACTATACATGTTAGGGACTTCATATGAGAAGGATCACACATGTGAGGTACTAAACATGTGAAACCCCTCATTGAGATATGATACCATGAGCAAACTAAATAGCGACACTTTAACATGTGCTTTCCCCAAAGTTTTGATTTAATCTTAAAGAACTGAAGTTCCTAATGAAGCCTTCACTAACATTGTATTTATCTGTTCATGCGTTCAGAGCAAGGAAGCTGGGATTAAGACACTGGTTATGCTTGATGAGCAAGGAGGTAGGTCATCCTGCATTTTACACCTCACATTTATAGCTCAGTAGTTAGAACACATTTTGAATGAGGTAAGTTATGCTCCAATATATACCTCACATATTTTGTATGCTTCTTTCTACATATTGCTCACATATTGTACCCTAGTATAGTTAGAACACATTTTGATTAAGGTCCGATATATACCTCACATATTTTGTATGCTTCTTTCTACACCTCACATATTATAGCTCAATAGTTAGAGTACATTGTGTAGTTAGAGTACATTTTGAAAGAGGTAAGTTATACTCCAAACCAGACCTCATATATTTTGTACGCTTCTATCATCTTCACCTTACATATTACAGCTCAAGCAATCAACTCAAAATATCAAAAAATTTGGTGAATTTGAAAATGTGGTTGCCAAACTTGCATCAGTCAATTGCCCTATTAGTTTTTCCAAAAGTCCATTGCAACATGGCAACTATGATCTTCTAACACTGGCCCTGACAGTTGTATTTGTTACAAGTTATGTATGTAGTATAGAAGTGTAGACGTGTCCTGATGGGTTCTGGACTAATATAAGGTAAGAAGCCATTACCTTATATAATTCCCTGTCTTGCATTTTGCATTATATTGCACCTTCTTATATTTTCTTCCTATATTACGTTTAATTGGGGTAGAGCTAAAGGAACTTAATTAGAGTACAGGGATGGAATGGCAGTCATATTATAGGGAATTTTCAGCCAGACAATTGTCAACATGATTGACATTCCCATCGTTAGTTCCAACGCTCAATCACTACTCTATGAGGACAGGTCATAAGCTTGATTAAGCAAGATGTGACATTCCATCATCTAACATAAATCTGGACTAAATCTTTGCCAAATTCCATCATCTAACATAAATCTGGACTAAATCTTTGCCAAATTCCATCATCTAACATAAATCTGGACTAAATCTTTGCCAAATTCCATCATCTAACATAAATCTGGACTAAATCTTTGCCAAATTCCATCATCTAACATAAATCTGGACTATAAATGACCATATGGAATCAGTTTATGTAAAAATAGAAACATTTGTATTTATCCTAACTTTTGTATATTTTAGTTTGTTTTGTAGTTTAGCTATCATATCTGTGTCCTCTTATATTTTGATACTTCTCTGCCATGTTATTTTTGGAAAAATTAAAATAGCTGAAACTCCCTAAATTACAAAAGGCCACAGCTTTGCTGCACATCATACATTACTATCTGAAATATACAAAAGTTAGGATAAATATAAATGTTTCTATTTTTACATAAACTGTTTCAATATGGTCATTTGATTGCTTATTTTTTAAATTCAAAGTAGTCACAAACATTTCTGTTTTGACTGTAACATAAATCTGGACTAAATCTTTGACAAATTCATTTTGAATCACTTGCCCAATTTTATACTTAACTTTTTCTGATTTCCTTGAATATTCTTGAAACAACTTAACTGGGTTTTTTCTATTACCAGTTGTATGACCATAGATGCTCTAGATCAATTTACTAATTACTAGATTCTCACTTGGAAAAACTTTTTGATATGCAAATACAGACATTTTTTTCTGTATAAGTTTTGTCAATTAACTAGTACATTCACCCCTCTAACTCTATTTTTGAACTTTTCATTGCTTTCTTTTCTTTTGGCATTATACTTATATTTCAAAACAAATTATTGGGAAATTGATTTTGAATTTGAAATGATCTAAGTAAAAACAATTCTCCTCTTTAATTGGTACTCTCTTCTGACACCTGAAGCTTTCAATGTTATTGGTGAATTGATTTATGCCCCTACGTTTATCGAACAATACCATACGGGCACCAATCATCTGATTTGTTTCGACCCAAGATACGGCTGCTACAACAGATCCTTTTAATAGTTTGCGTGATTAATTTTCCTAGGGACCTAAGATTTTATGGTGTGAGAAATAACCCTAGTTTGTAGAAATCAACACAATGCTCCATTAGTTTACATGGTTCGATAACCTATTGGTTATACATATTTCTTGTGGTTTTTCCTCAGGATACAATTGAATGATTTATACCTAGGGCACTTCATGTATTTTTCATTGAATCTGTGTCTTGATTATTTTACGAGTCTTAATAAATGAAGTAATGCACATCCGGCACTTTCCAAAGTTACAGAGTTTTCTCTATTATGGGGCATTCATTATTGCCCTGTATTAGCCATTCATTATTTCCCTGTATTTGCCAATACTGTTGATGAAATAAATTAGACGATTTGTAAAGAATTTTTATTCATGTGGGGGTGTTTAGTCAATGTTTTATTCAAAAGTAGCCAAATATGGGCTAATTGCTCATTGTTTTAAATTACACATTATGTTGTACTGTACATTGGAAGACTTAGATTAGGTTATGTACACTAATTAATTAATCGTTGTATACTCTTTATTTTAGCATTCTTTCCTCTATCTAGGACATATGTAAATCTATCCTGACTTCTGGCTTTTTCTCTTAACATATTCTACCTTTATTGATGAAATCATTGATATTCTTATGTACCCAATATAGGAAAACATGTTTATTTTGCATACATGTTATTTTTGCTTAAATTCGCTGTTGATCAAAATCGTGAATTTGTCATGTCAGAATTTATAATATTAGCATTGCTATCAATAGATAGAATTCCCAAAATGTTTATTTATCATGAATACTAGAAAAATCTGAAATTGTGAAAATAACATGTGTGAATTCAACATGTTTTTACATTGTATTCCAGGTAATGTTTTAAGCTATAAGTCTTACCCTTATGTATGTCATACATGTGACCCCATATTTTTGCATTGAATTATATACTTGATATATCAGTGTGAGATGTGAATTTTTATAGAATAGGAACATTACCATGGATAAAATACATTTACGGGGTGTTCCAAAAGTAATGAGATTTTTTGTAAATATATAAATATTAATCTCACAAAAATTCTTGACTTCTGGGACACCCTGTGTTATGTAGGGTACAAATTTATTTTTTGTTTAAACCTGTACATTGTTGTAACTGTGTAACTGTAACTCTGTAACTGTAACTCTGTAACTGATTTCTTCTAGTCTACTGCTGTAGGAGTCAAAACTTTAGTGAATCTTGATGAGCAAAGAGGTATATTTGCCTTGCATTAATTGAATATGATACGCTATGATATGTTACATGAATTAAACCTGTTATGTGTTATGATTGCTTCACTTATATTGGCGTTGAGATTGATGATAAAATATTCGAAAAATGTGCATATTCATTTGAAAAATGTGCATATTCATGAGAAAATTTGAGAAAACATGTGCATATTTAGTATTTGTTTAGGTACTTCTCAGCTGCTGCTATTTTTTTTATTCATTCTTTTTTTTAAATATTTTTAGTGATTTGATGAAGGGAACATTTCAAAGCATCTTGTTTTAGACTTTTGACACAGTCCCTTCACAATTTATTTACAATTTTTTATCAAATCTGATTAGGAAAAACATGCACAAATTTTGAGTCATTATTTATATTTTCATTGATGTTTCATTCAATTAGGAATCAAAATATTAACAATTTATATATCAATAAAAATATTCATCTATCAATCAAAATATTTTGCAATTTTTTCCTAGTCAAATTCTGTTTTCCAGCTGCTTGTTTGACTATCGATACAGTCTCATGCATAGCCCAGAAAACCATGGCCAACTAGGTGATTCATGTGTAATGGAAGGTCACATCAAATTATGGTTTTTCTGGGGCTATGTGTCAGACTGGATGTTCTTGTTACGTTTTATAGCTACATATAATGCAAGCATGTTAGCCTGTTGTAGATTTAGAATAGCTGCACACATCTTTGGTGCTATCTGTGTTTTGTGAATTATTTGATTTCCAGTTTTCTTTTCCCAATAAATTAAATACCCCGAAAGTATAACTGTCTGGTGTATAATGTCCAAGTAAAATGTTCTGAAAACATTCATTAGATCCTTGACGAGGAATCCAGCCATAGATTCCTTAGTCAGATCCCGTTTCAGATTCGGTAATCCAGAATCCGGACTCCATTCTGCATCAGACAGTTCTCAACTTCTTGTATCCCTCTTAATGATTTATAAATGCTGTACATTCTCATAACATACAGTTCTAAGTTTTCACAAAACATTGGTGTTGCTATAAGATGTATGATTGTTGTTGTTGTTCAGAGTCAAGACACTGGGGCCAAGACGTTGGTTATGCTACAGGGTCAGGGAGGTAGGTACATGTAACAGCCTGCATGGGGGTGAAGAAGAGTGCCCTGGGGGTTAAGCAAGTAACTTTTCTAACCTTCCTATCAGTCTGGCATTGAATTTATTTGGAAAACTAGAATTTCCCCAGGTCTGCTGTTGAGTATATTGTCTAGAACGTTGTTACTGAAAAATAGCAAACCTGAGGTTTGGTCCAACTGCTAAGAGTTAAATTGAACGTTAGAAGATGGCAAACTCCACATTTGGGAATATTTTCCTAAATTATGAATCAAACTCCTCAAGGAAAATATTTTTCTGGCATTATTAATGCTTTTTGAGATAATATTGATGGAATGAACTGTAGTCATAGTAATCAATAAATATTTGTTGATTGATGCTTCCATTTCTCTCGAATAAATTTAGTTTTTTTAGATTTATCATATTACATTCATCAAAATGATTTATTATTTTGATGATATTGCAATGGTATAATTGCATCTAGTTTAATTATGAGAAGTTAATTAAATGGAAAAATAGTAAATTTAAAAAGTAAATAAAAAATGAGAATGAGAAAAAATTATGCAACTTTTCTAAAAAAAACACAGTCCAATTATTTTATTTCAAGTTCACTCTGTTACCCTACTTGTACTTTTATTTGACACATCCACGAGACATGCGAGTCCAATGTATTGCTATGGTTACATATTGTGATGTAATTTCAGAGCAACTTGACCGCATCAATGAGGGAATGGACCAAATTAATCAGGACATGAAAGATGCAGAGAAGAACTTGGAGGGGATGGAGAAGTGTTGCGGGCTCTGTGTGCTTCCATGGAACAAGTCAGTAATAATTTAGCACATACAGGTTATTTACTGGGAGGGATTGAATATTGGTTTTATACTGACCACCAATATTGAAATATGTTAATTGGGGTGTTATTCACCTGAAAATAATAATCTTGGTAAAAATTTATATATGCAGTAAAATCTGTGTAAGTTGAACACCTTTATACATCTTAAAGTGTTCCCCCTGGGAGGTGTTTCACTTTCAGAGGTCAATTTAACATTAAGTCAATAGATCACGGGACTTTAGATTCCACTTATGGAGATGTTCTACTTGCAATTTTGACTGTGCATAAAAAGCTATGGGAAAATTGGTAACATGGGAGAATTCAAGAATTCTAAACAAGTCATATATAACCACCTTGAGCAAAATGTTGTTGTTTAGAAACCATGTTAAACCTGAAGCTTTCCGCAAAATGATGTAAGTGGATTGGCCCAAAAAACGTTTATTATACAACTTTTGTTATACATCTTCTACCCTCTTTATAGGAGTAAAAACTTTGAACGAGGCTCTGCTTATGACGCTACTTGGAAGGCTACAGATGATGGCCCTACCAATACAAATGGCCCAAGAATGGTGGTGAATGACGGTGGCGGCCCAGGCCAAATGGGTGGATATGTTACTAAGTAAGACTGAGAACTTTACATGGCTTTGTTGTAAAATTTGATTTGAATTGTAGCAATAGTAACTTTTCTTTCCATTAGATGTAGATGCAAATGTACCGAGTATCATATCACAAGAAACTGTGACATCAAATTTTTGCAAGGCTAAAATTAAGTGATTTGTGAAAGTGTGAAAAAAAAATTTATACATGACTTGTCAGTTCAAGAAATTAACATGTGGTTTGTCATTGAAGGGGAACTTACATGTGGTTTGTTATTGCAAAGAAACTTACATGTGGTTTGTCATTAAATGAGAACTTATATTTGGTTTGTCATTAGATGGAAACTAACATGTGGTTTTTCATTGAAGGGGAACTTACATGTGGTTTGTCATTGTAGGATAACAAACGATGCTCGGGAAGATGAGATGGAGCAAAACATCCAGGAAGTGAGTGGAATGGTCGGAAACTTACGTAACATGGCGGTTGACATGGGCAATGAGATAGACACTCAGAATAGGCTCCTGGATAGGGTCAACCAGAAGGTAACCTCCATCAATAACTCAATGAGAAAATATTTTGTCCAAAACTTTATCAATTTTGCTTTAATTTAATGAACACCTCCTGTGAAGTATGGTATAAGTATGGTGTAAATAATAAAGGTGAAAAGAACCTGTAAATGAAATCAGTGTTCAATATTGAGATTCGACTGATATGCTGTTATTGAAAAATAAGCGCTTCGATTTGAAATGGCACTTGTATCAAAAGCGTAGTTAAAATGTTGAACTGTGGTGTATGCTGAAAGAATTAGATGTAAAGTGTTAGGATGTTTCATTGTATTAGGTTGTAATGTACATGCACAAGAATGTATGCTGTAACTGTACTTTTAATTGCAGGCAACTTCTAATGAAGTGCGCATCCAGGAGGCAAACAAAAGAGCCAACAAGCTTCTTAAAGATGCATAGAAACTGTTGCCATAGTTTCCAAGTGGCACATCATCATTGCAACATACTTAGCTTTTACTTTGGTTTTGTCGTCCCTCTGTGTATATTCTCAAATCATCGCCATGGTTACCAGCAAGCCTGCATGGCCAGCATCTTATCATTCCATATTGTACTGGTTACCATAGCAACCATAGCAATATCGTCATGGAGACTGTACATAGACATGTTTTTGACAGTGATGGCTAGAAATTGACATGTGTAAAGTGTAAATATGGCTATGGCATGTGCTAATTCCTCAGTAACTTTAAACATCTTGACAGTGTGAAGAGAAACTATACAATATCAACAGGATGTTTACAGTTACTGACTTGTATTTATTTACAAGACCATTTGGGTAAAGACAGTGTATAGAATAGCCGTATGATAGTTTCAATATAAGAATGCCAATTTAATTTAAGTTGTACATTTTATATATTTAATAATCAGTTGCATGACTGTTTTAAAGTGCTGTAAATTCTCAAGTCAGTTAATGAAAGAAAGCATGTTATCACAAGAGCATGTGAAATGTTTGTTTTACTTAAGAGCAATGGGAACAAGATGAAATGTCTTATACCCCCCTGTATGCATGCATTTTAAGAAAAAGACAAAATTTGTAAAAAAAATGTAAATTGAGGTTTGAGAATGTTATTGTACAGTTAAGTGGTTGCATAGTAGACGAACTTGTTTTATGGTACATGCGAATTGCTGCAATGGCCTATGTAAGCGCAAACACAGTACACTTGCTTGTTCTTTTTACACTGATGCCTGGAAGAGAGGGACCTGTTATACTCACAAAATGCACAAATTCAGTATTTTTAATGTTTGTTCTTTCAATTGCAGAGCTGTTTGTCTTTTCTCAACTCTTCTCTCCTCTCTGTCTGAACTTGACTCCTGTGGTTTTGTTCATCTTTTTTATTTATTTATTATTAATTTTGAGCTCATTTTTATTGTTCTCTTTCATTGTCTCATTTTGCAATGCAAAGTTATACAAGTGAATATGGAAAAGTTAGATTCATTGTATTTTTGTAAGGTTGCCTTTTCTAAGAATCTCCCAATATATATGTATTGACTTTTTGTTTCATCTCAAATACTTTTATTTTTTTTTTCAAAAAATATTGTCTTCCACTATTCTATTCCAATTATCTGTTATTTTCTTAATTATTGTATCTCCTATCTTTACTTGGTAATTCTTGTTTGATTTTTTCATGATAATCTCGTCTGCACCGTGTTCCATTTACATTGTACTTCTGTCCTACTTCAGTGTACTTTGTCTTACCTCAAAGTACTTCTGTCTTACTTCAATGTACTTCTGTCTTACTTCAAAGTACTTCTGTCTTATTTCAATGTACTTCTGTCTTACTTCAAAGTACTTCTGTCTTACTTCAATGTACTTCTGTCTTACTTCAATGTACTTCTGTTTTACCTGTGTCTTTCTTTACACCTGTCTCTAGGGAAGCTCCTTGGATGTAAGAATAAAGAAAGCCAACTCCAGGGCCTCAAAGATACTTCAGCAAACATCTACCAAGCCTAAGTAAATTCGCTGGGATATATATTAAGATTTATATTAATCTGATTTTATGCGGCTATGTGGTAGATGTATCTTCAGGAAATGTTACAGAAACTCAGCTTTTGAAGTGCCAGTTCACTTCATTTTTTCAATTTCATTTAAATTGGACATTTCAATTTAGTGCCAATATGTCAACAATATGCAAGTCAAAATTATGAATTACAATGACAGCTGTGTAGCTGTATTACAGATGTGTGTAGCTGTAGATCTGCCCATTTTGTATTTTTATTTGAATCTCAGGATTTTGCTTCATATTTACGTTTTATCATTCTCTTATTTATGCAACCTCCTTGCAGGGTCCTTAAAAATAATTTTTCTGGAGGCTAATTTGAAAATATTGCAAATTTTGATCTCTGAAATTCAATAGTATGTCATGATGTTTCTATTTTTGGCAACATCATAAGTTACAACTTTTTTGAATCATAGAATCGTTCTGTTATCATATCACAATATTTTCAAGAAATAGGCAGGATCCAGAGGATCTGAAACTCTGCATTTAAGGTTCACATATGTTTATACTTTCGCTCTATACACTGAAACAGTTATATTATTTTCTCAGAACAAGTTGTAGTATTGCATCCCATTGATACCTACATGTAAGCACAGATTTGAAGAAACTTCTGCGATGTTAGGAAGTCATATGTTATGCCTTATTTGAATCTCATGTTATTTTACATGTTAAATATTTCTGTTATTTTTACTTAATATGTACAGGGTATGCCAGAATATATAGATCACTGTTTCATATAGAAATTGAGTTTCTCTGTTGACTGGCTATCCTGTGTTTTACTGTATGTATGGAAGTTCCGAAAAGAATTTGATTTGATACTAGTACTAAGATTAATCGGTATGGATTTGTGTGCGTTACTGATATCACTGGTTACCAATTACTTCTATATGGAATCACATGGTGTAATGTCTCTATGTGTGATGTCATCATGTGTGATGTCACACTTGTGAGAATAAGACGATCTTACTGTATACCAAAAATTGTTTAATGAAAGAATCAATTTTATATTCTAAGTACTCTACTGATATTTGACCACCAAGTACATGTGCACTGAAAAGAATAAATATATGGGATTTAAAATATATTAAATGATAAGTGTTTATATAAAATTGATTGTTTTTACAATTTTAACGCCTCTAGTCCATGGTTAGTGATAATCATGATTTTTGTGTTTTCTTTAAATTGTAAATATGATAGAGAAAAGAGATTTACCAAATATGTAGAACTATCAAATATAGTAGCAGATAAAACAAATGTAAATATAGCCTATGTGTTCAATGTCTTAGATTGTTCTGGTAGACTTAGGCATTTCAACTTCATTTTTTGACTGAAGAGCAAAATATCACTCAAAATGAGATTACTGTAAACCTAGTTCATTTTGCTGCTATTTCATTTTAATCAATTTTGAAAAAAACATACATGATGTAGTTGATTTTGAAATTTTTGCACAATTTTAGAGCAGCAATTTTAACAGGTTTGAAGTACTTAATCGTGTTATGTGCCATGAATTACATTGAACATGGTTTCTAAATGATCATTTTGTAAAACATTTATAGACAAACATTCTACATGGAAATTCTCTACTTTTGAAATCCAAAACGTCACTGTAACACACTGTACTTAGATTTTACTTTATATATCAGACGTATTCTTTCACAACAGTATTCTTAGTGTACCAAAACTGACAAATGTATTGTATATCATAATATGACTATTTATCACAATTCAAAGCAAAATTGTATTCAAAATGTGTAAAAATTAAGGCACGGCATGAAATCAAAATTACGTAAACTTGAACGGTAAATTGGTATGTTTTATAGATATTCAAGTATTTTATGGTTGAGGTTAATAAATTATGTATTTGATACCTGTGTTGTTTAGAATAGGATACCAATTTGAAATGTGAATTAAATATCTCCATAACAATAGACAAATAATATTATAAATACTGATCTGATGTATTAACATGTGGGGAATCCAGTTGTTGTGGCTTGAAGTGCATCACAAAGAGGACCAAATAATGACAAGTTGGTAGGGTGATATTTAGGCAGGTAAACTATGTAAGCAGAACCAATTTATGACTCAAAAGTTTGGACAGGGGATAATTAAATTGAATCTGACCCATGAAACAATCCACTTCTCTTGAATACTAGTACGTAATAAAAGCTCATATCGAGTCCTAAATCAAACAAACTGAGCATAACTAAAGAACGAGAGAGAGGAATGCGTTAAATAATTCCCCCAAGTTTGGTTAAAGATGGTCCTAATTTTTTAATGTAGATCAAATTGTCAAAAGTTTCTCTTTGCTTACTGTATTCTACATGAAGGGGGCCAGGTGAAAATATACTAAATTGTTATGGGACAACATTAATATATTGAGCTGATCCCTTAGCAATATTATGCATTTTGATTTACCATTAAGATCAAGAAAGATATAAGATCCTGGGTATTAGATCCCCCTCAAGAAGACCAAAGAGGTAAAATCAACTTCGAGAAGACCAAAGAGGTAAAATCAACCTTTTGAGTTGATAAATGAGGTGAAACTCTTCGGATTATTTGTCCCTATATTGTTGCACCTCGAGACATAATAAATACCAAAATAAGTGAAGGATATTTGAATGACATTTCAAACAATTTTAAATCCGCTTCATAAAATATAGGAAACAGCATTCTATGTAATCAAGGTGTTTGGATTTAGAGATGTAAAATTTGATCTTGTGAAACATTATCTTTTAACCTTCAGCCTCCCGATTCTGAAGCATTGTCTATTCAAGAATTTTGTCTTAAGCCATTGCCAAACTTGTTTTCCTGGAAACTTCAGGCTAGGAATATTTTCTGAAAAAGGTAAGGTCTCTCAAGATCTAATGAACATCCCTTACACTGTAAAATACAACACATTCTAATATTGAATATCATTCCAAACTGTAAGTATTGTCTGAGATTTGAAACAAATGTGTCGCTGAAATCGAACACCATTGATTGTAAAATTCAGAGGCAATGGCAGTTAAGGTGCAAACTGTCAACTGTTTAAAGGATTTCACTATTACAATAGCACCTTATCAATGAAATTTATTAAAATGCAAAATTGAATGTACAAGTTGATAAACATTTCATAGTTGTACATGTTTTTGTCATAAAAATTAGAAACAGGATATTGACAAAAAATTGTTGAATAAGTTTGTTGTCGACCAGCACACTGTTTGTATTAAATCTAAGAATGGATGTATTTGCAATAATAAATATGAAAATAAAGTTATAAATACAACACATCTACTGTATTCTGTTATAACATTACATAGATTATTGAACATCTGTGATGAAAGTGTAATGTTAAGGTGGATAGAATGGTTCAAGTTACTCTGCTCAGCTACCTTAAAGTTGCCCTTGTTCTACCACTCATGCTATGAAAACAATGTCCTATATAGATAGATTTAAAAAACTAAAGATAGATTTAATTAATTTTAATTTGTTAACCGATAATTATTATGTTTATTAACATGGCACCATCACTTCAAGATGCGATGAACAAATGACAAAGAATAAAACAATTCAATCATTTGCTGGAATTACACCACAAAATCCGCTAAAACGTTTTAGTGGAAGGCGCTTTACAAAATCGCCATTCTGATTACACCAACATTTCTAAAGCGTCTTAGGAATTATATTTTGGAATTACACCTGTTTTTCTAAAATGCCTTTTGTGCAATTTTAACGATGTAGTTATGGATAATATCCAGCATACATGTATGTGTACATCTCCTGTAAATGTATTCTTTTTGCATCTAAGACAAAACTGATCTTCCATAATTTGATTAAAAATGCATGACATTGCATACTTTTTATTTATCTTTTATTATTTATTAATTATGAGAAAACATAATAAAAAGGTAAAAGAAAATGTACATATTCTCTGAAGATAACACTTAATTCCGATGTGACCTGGCGACCATCATCCATTTTTCAATTTAGATATGAGGTCTTATTTCGTTTAGGCAAATGTTAAAAACTAGTAAAAACCCGGGTAAGGCGTCTTACAAAACCGATCGGTATTACACTGCACACTTAAAGCGCCTAACGACTTATGCCGTTTACTAGTGACAAGGGTTCTTGGAGTTTTAGAAAAGCGCTTTTGTAAAACCGCAATCGTGATTACACCTAATTCTTAAGCCTGGTTAAAACCGAAGAAGCTTTTGTAAAACGCCATGTGTAATTCCAGCAATTCAGTAGAAACCGAAGCACATTCGGCACTACCTCATAATAAAAAAATTGAAAATGTGGGATGTTATGGACTTATCCCATCAATCTCACTTTCAAATCTCACTTTCAAAACATTTAATATTATATTTTTAAATATTTTATATTTAACAATATACAATGTATTATACAATTACATAAAAAGCACCCCAGGGGTGTTAATATTTTACATTGTTTTATTAAGATGAGCCTTCAAAAAGCAGCAAACACATTTTTCTGCAATTTTAATTGGTTTTAAGCAAAGCAAGTGAAAATAGAGTGCCTCAATATTCAACCAACAACATATATATAGGTTAAAAAAAATACAAATACTTCATCACCTCATCCATACATTAATATTTGAATTCAATAATAAATCTACAGTAGTGTAAATTCTCAACCAGTAGTTTAATAAGGACAATTAGATAGTCAATCACATATTGTGCCAATAACATATCCACATATGCATATTTTTGGTTTATTCCAAACAAGGAAAAGAAGCAGACCTCGTCCAATATTAGGATTCTATTTCAGTTCTGGTCAACATTGTTTATCAGTCAGCATAAAGCACACCATCTTTCCATACCAAAATTGTTCAGAATTATCTTATAGCAACATCAATAATCTAAGTAAGATAATCTGTAGAACTCGCTGAATATGCGCTGTCAAAAGTTTATTCTTGATAGAGTATCAAACTCGACTCTTAAATCCACTTTTTGAATCATTAATTAAAGTTGGTGGATGGACTTCAATGGCATCCAATTTATATACAATGTGTTATATACAATAACATTATATTATACTAGTGTTTATGAATGATTTCAAACACTTGCAAGTCCTAAAAGTTCTGAAGAAGTGAAAAGTCTGTCAGGTGGAGGCAGCCTGTGCTTTGAACTCTTTTTGTACCTGTTTGGAATCTTCCCATGGTCTGGGACCCCTCACATTAGACCACGTGTCTATGTCTTTCTTCTCTACTTCCTGAAATATTGAAATATTTCAAAGACCAAAATATTCAGGGTTTAGTGTGTAAAGTAAAATCTGTACATATGAACACCTCTTTTATTCAGACACTTCTTGATATGAACACTTTGTTCAGTGCCAAATTTCGAGACCCTATCTGTTGCAAGACTAACGCCTGGCGTAACCGTCACCATGTTATTCAGTGTTTTTTAAGTAGCGCAAGGATCCTGCCATGACCGTGGTAATGTTATCGTAAAAGCCTGGTATAACCGCGACAATGCTGTATGATATTGCAATGCCTGCCATGACCGTGACAATGTAATATAGTTCTGCAAGGCTTGACATGACCGTGACAATGTAATATAGTACTGCAAGGCCTGGCATGACCGTGACAATGTAATATACTGTAGTATTGCAAGGCCTGGCATGACCGTGACATTGTTATATAGTTCTGCAAGGCCTGGCATGAAAAGTTCAGGTATGAGAGTGGTAATGTAGAAATTTATGATTTCGACTGCTATAAGCATGACAATGTGTATTGCAAAGCCTGGCATGACCGTGGCAATGTAATATAGTACTGCAAGGCCTGGCATGGCCGTGACAATGTAATATAGTATTCCAAGTTTGGGTATGAGAGTGGTAATGTAGAAATTTATGATTGCTATAAGTGACCGTGACAATGTGTATTTGAAAACCTGGCATGACCTTGACAATTTATTATGGGATTGCAAGGCCAGGTATGAGGGTGGCAATGTAGAAATTTAGGCTTAATCCTACTATGACCGTTATAATGTATTGCAATGACTAGTAAATATGTATGACATTAATGCCAGGAATATCCTTAACAATTTTAAGTGATCGTCATTACAATTAAACAGTTTAATACTATGATCATGGTGTTTAGGCTTAACTACCTTAATCATGTCAAAATCAAAATTACTAACATACATTAATATTGACATTCGTTTATAAACCACAATAAAGGCTACGGTCGCGCCAGGCTTCCACGATAACACTTCTAGGGTCATGACGGGCCTTGCAATATAATACAGCATTGTCACGGTTATACCAGCCTGTCACGGTTATACCAGGCTTACACGATAACACTACCACGGTCATGGCAGGATCCTTGCGCTACTTAAAAACACTGATTAACATGGCGACGGTTGTGGCAGGCGTAAGTCTTGCAATAGATAGCATGTGCAAATTTCTTATCCTCTATTGACCTACATGTTAATAAAACCTTGAAATATTTAAGGTTCAGTATGTAAAGTATTTGTCATTGAGTAAATTGGTTATGACAAAATATATGAACAACCTTTGAGAAATACTTGTACAATTACTCATTATTAAAATAGTTAAGTTTTTTTGTAAAATGAACTTTCTTATTTCTTCTGAGGAACATTTTTGCATTTGCATTTTTTTCATTTAATATTATGATTTGTTAGTATTTGTTGTGTATGATATTTGATTGCAAAATATTGAGAGCTTCTTCAGCTGTATATATTCTTCTCTTCACTTACTTCATATATTTTTTCTATTGTTACATCTTCTTTTGGTTTAAGTTTGATTCCCTTCTCTTCTTCTAGCATTTTCTCCACCTCACTCTTATTTTTCTGTAATAATATAATATTTAAGACAATTGCACTGTGGAGGAACTCGTAGAGCAAGTTACAAAAATGGTTCTGTTTTCGTAACAAAATGGCGCAGCCATTGGCTAGGGAATTTGGTAAGTTTTTCTTTTTTGATGATTTCACAAGATATAGGCACAATCATCACTACCTTTTTGGCAAAAGGGTGTGTCATAGGCTTATGTGTTTCAGAATATCTAATTATTTCTGAAATAATTTCTTCGTAACACCCGAGAATCATCAATAAAATTCCTCACTTAAGTTACGTAAATAAATTCATTAAAATACGAAAACGGTCTCGCATGTTGGTTCAGTAGTTGCAGAAAAAAATACACTTCCAATGTAAATGAATAAGTGATAAATTCTGAACTCAGCAAATGTAACCATATTATATTTTCCTCATCAAAAGTTAACACTAAAGTCTTGAATAATTAAGAACACCAATCACCTACTGCCACCAAACACCAGCTGCCTAACACCATCAACAAAAAAAAGTTGGAGACAATACCACTTCCGGTGGTGACATAAAAATCATTATTAAAAGTATTAACAAAAATTATTTAAACATTAACATGGTTAAAAAAACAGCTGGTTAAAAGTATCACTTACTATCATTTGTCGAGATGCCTTGTATTCAAATCTAATGCTGGTAAAGTGTTTCAGTCCAAATGATCCCCCTGCCACAAGTATCTAGATAATAAAGTAAAGTATTAAACTATATTAATAGTTGATCCAATGATGATTTTGATATAACAATTCTTTGGTAAATGACAGTGTCAGTATAATTATACATTTACAACACAAGGATTAGGGGTCTCGCGATTGTTCGGATTTGCTCGAGGAATTAGGCACGATAAAAGCGTATCAATCGTAAACTTGAATATCGGTTAAAATTCTTTATCGTTTTTTAACCTCCCAAAACAGCAAAATCATGTTCGAAAGTAGTTTAAATAAGATTGTATCTTCCCGTTTTTCCATTTTGTTATTTTCCTTGTGTAATCTGGCATAGAATGTACCCCCAATAAAGGATATCCGGTTTTGTTTAATGAAAAAACTTGGAAAAAGAATGTGAAATAAAAATATAAACCATGGAGGTGGTGGAAGTGGTGGTGGAAGTGGACATTAGTTTTAGGAAGACATTCGAAATTCGGTGGTTGGTACATTTGTCTTGTTTACCTATATATTTTTAAAAAATATAAAAATTTCTAATGCTCTTACATTGCTCCTATCGTTTGTATCGTATCGTGAGGTAAATATCGTTGCTCGTATCGAAATTAAAGATAATGTATTGTGAGACCCCTAACAAGGATACTTGTGAGTAACTTACTGATATTAAAATAAAATAAATAAATGTAAATGGCCACTGTTATTCCAGGATGGCCACTACAGTTTGGGCCATAAATAAATGAGCAGTCGAATTTCTACCACCATTTCCAAACCAGGGTGCTTTGAAAGCCGATACTTTCTAATATTGTCTGGATACATGTATCCACTAAAATTTGTATAATTTTACATTTTGTATTATTTCATCTACTGATGTATGGCCTATTGAAAAGTCTCTTATTTTTTAACATTGGAAATTCTCACTTCAGCAAATCAATGACTCTCCTGAAAGCGCATGCCCAAACTGTAGTAGATATCAATTATTGATACAAGTTCCTGTGTCAACAGCCAGAAAATATAAACCAACAGAAACGAGGAATCCCTAAATGAAACAAATTGCAAAGGTGTCATCACCATCTGTCATTTGCCTGTTTGCCATTTGTCCTAAACTCTTATCTAAAGAATAAAATAAATAAATCAAATTCAAAATACACATCAATGAGCGATAATAGGTGTAATATTTTAAGTAAGAGGTTGTTACTGCTTCAGTATATATTTCAACGCAGTGATTTTCACTTAATAGGCGGAGAATATTATCAATTTGAAATACAAACTGTAACTTACGAAGAAAGGTATCCCATATTTTATAAATTGGTTGTTTTTTGCGTGTGAAATTATTTTTATCATTTTCTCCATTTGCCCGATTACGTTCTTGCCGTCTTTCTGATTGGTTCAGATAAAACGTGAAAATGGCAGCCCCCTTGCTGGTGCTTGGGAAGTTAGGGGTTTCTTCGCCTTCTTTCTGCAGTAAGTACATTTTGTTAAACATATACTCGTTAAACATAATGTGAGGGTTGAATTGAAGTCACGTTTTTATGTCGATTAGCCTCTGAACAATGAATAATCATAACTAGAAATTTACTACAATTTTACAAAAAATCAGGGTTTTTTCTGTGTCAAGATCATAGGCTAAGGGTTAAGTAATAGTAAGCTGTATATATAAGAAATACAGCTTACTATTACTTAACCCTTAGCCTATGGTCAAGATCATAAGCCAAGGGAAAAGTAGTATTAGCTCAATATGATCAGATCTATACATAGTAATTCTGATAAGTTAAATTCGTTGTTCATACATATACACCGTTCTTAGGTATTCATCGAGCATGTCGCCAACTGCCAGCAATGAATTTCAACTCCCAGAATCTGCATTCCTTGGAGCCTCGTTCTTGTGCTGCGACCAAAACTTCAAGGCGTCTTTTGATTGTTGAACAGCAGATTACATTTATTCCTGTGAGAAATACTGGCTTTTTCAACAAGAGTAAGTAAAACAAATATCTCAGTTGAGAAACGCTCGATATAATATTCATTACATTTCAAGTACAGCATGTGCTGAGGGAATGTGTTTTCACAACAGACAGTATAATTCCCTTCTTTGCGATAAAGGTCAATCCGCCACCAAGTAATTTTGACAAAATTATGTCTGTATTATACATGATGTATTAGGATTTTCATGAAAATGTTGACAAACTATATAACCATGAGTGCATAAAGTGAATGACTCTTCATTTGCAGTGACTGGTAAAGAACTTTGGGAAGGAGTGACATCTGTGAGTAGCGCGGGAAAGAAGAAGGGGCGTGGTAAGCGTGTAGGTAGAATGAGGCAGAGGGACTTGAACAGAGGACAAGTGCTAGGAGAAGGTAAGTAAACATTGTTATTTTTTACATTTTATTATGAACAATGTGAATTTTCAGAAGATTTTTACTTTGGTATCATTGAAGTTATATACCAGTTTATCATTTCCTGAATTCAGTATTCACATACAAAATGGTAAGAGACTAGATCAAAGTAATCTTGATTTATATCATTAAATATTCAAAATTTGGTCCAGAAGATATCATATTTGAAATCTGCATGTAAAATCTAGAAAACTCTGAAAATTTAATTTTCTTGGTAAATATGACTTATAGGTTTCGTAGATTTCTGTAGTAAAATATCATTTCTTGTGTTGGACAGATAATATTCTTTTACTGGACATATTTTCATTTGTATAATTATCAAACACATAGAATTATATGTAAACTGATCTACTTAAACTGATGAATATTCAAGTTTAAGGGAACTTTCTACTATATTACTATATCTGCCATGTGTTATCTGACCCAAATGAGCCTCTTGGTGATGAAGCTGGTAACTACCTGCTGACATGTGGTTTAATGCCACTTGCACACTCATTGTACTGCCCACTTGTTAGTTTTGTATATAATGTGGTGACAAATGTTTTCATTTTTTCAGGTTTGAGGTCAAACTTTGTATGGCCAGGTCTGAATGCACCAGTTATAAAGGGTCGCCAGGTTATAAGACAGGAAGAACTCCCACCAGATCCTACAAAGATGGAAGAATTAAACAAATTCCGTGACAAAATGAGCACCTTCCGACATCTACCACTTCCAACATTACAGCGAGGATGGTCAGGGAATCGTTTTCCCGGACAAAGTGTCGGCCCTCCTGATCCTATTGGAGAGTATGATTTCAAGGACTTTGACTCTCGTTGCGTTGAGTTTAAAATTGTCACTAACATGACGGGAAATCTTGGTCGTAAACATAGATTCAGCGCTATGGTTGTAGTTGGCAATGGGAACGGTTTAGCAGGTAAGAGAAATTGTATTTGTAATTACAAAAAATTATTTGAAATCAAAATTTATGTCAAACTAATTTAATCTGAGAAATTGATCAGTATCAAGATTGGCATCATCAAAAATTATTTAGATGGTACAGTGAAACCTGTATATCCGAACACCTCTCTAATCTGAACACCTCTCAATGTGAACACTTTTTCTCTGTCCCAATTTTGTTATCTTTCATTGACCTACATGTTGAAAAGACCTTAAAATGTGAACATTTGCTATTCCAAATACTTTAAGCTGGTTCCAGGGGAGTTTTTTTTCACCACTTTATTTATTTCACTTCATTTTTTACACACAATTACAGTACATATTTAGTTACAATACACTGTTTTTACATCATTTAGATCATATGATCATTTTCTTGATTCAATTGAGTCAGTCAAATTGAAGCTTTAACAGATTTTAGAGCCCAAAATTTAGATTGTCTGCGCTTTGTTTTTATTTGAGGTGATAATAATTAAATTCGAAAAAAGGAAAAAGTCCAGAGGCATTTGGATAAGACAGGTTTTACTGTATATTGTATGTGTTTATCATCTTCTTTCAGGATATGCTGTTGTATGTGTTTATCATCTTCTTTCAGGATATGCTGTTGTATGTGTTTATCATCTTCTTTAAGGATATGCTGTTGTATGTGTTTATCATTTTCTTTCAGGATATGCTGTTGTACGTGTTTATCATCTTCTTTCAGGATATGCTGTTGTATGTGTTTATCATCTTCTTTCAGGATATGCTGTTGTATGTGTTTATCATCTTCTTTCAGGATATGCTGTTGTATGTGTTTATCATCTTCTTTCAGGATATGCTGTTGTATGTGTTTATCATCTTCTTTAAGGATATGCTGTTGTATGTGTTTATCATTTTCTTTCAGGATATGCTGTTGTACGTGTTTATCATCTTCTTTCAGGATATGCTGTTGTATGTGTTTATCATCTTCTTTCAGGATATGCTGTTGTATGTGTTTATCATCTTCTTTCAGGATATGCTGTTGCTAAAGCCAACAAGGGTCGTAGTGCCATACAGCAGGCGAAGAACAGGGCTGCCCAGAAGCTGCAGTATATACCACTTTATAAGGGTCACACAGTCTATCATGATATGTATGAGAAAGAACAACAAGTTGGTGTCTTCATGCACAAGAAACCAGAAGGTATGAAATGATGAAAAATATTGAAAGCAGTTAGAAAATTGAGTTAGTCTTGAATTTGGAAAATAAAATAGCAATTGTGAAATGTTTATTTGTGTATCAAGGCACTGTTAGGTCTACTAAGGTGTTTCTTGAAATAGATCATTGTAGACCACGAAATAATTGTAGACATTAAAATGTGAATTCATTTATTTTGAATTTATTCACTCAAAAATATGATTGCAAATATTATGAAGACTGAAAGAACTTATATTTATTGTATGTAGTGATTCAGCACATTTTTAAATGATGATATTCTCTATAACATTGTTCTGATTATAGGATTTGGGCTTGTGTGCCACAGGGCCATTAAATCTATTTGTGAACTCATTGGGATAAAGGACTTGTATGCTAAAGTTGAGGCTAACAACAAAGGCAATGTGCAGGCCTTAACTACAGCAGTCTTTAGAGCCCTCGGAAACCAGGTATGCAATATTTCACAATCATGTGCTACATTTCACAAACATATGCAACATTTCACAAATGTATGCAACAATTCACAAATGTATACAACATTTCACGAATGTATGCAACATTTCACAAACATATGCAACATTTCACAAATGTAAAGATACCTGGCCTAAGTAAAGCACCCTCTATTAGGACTGGCACAGAGTCAAAGTAGAATGGATTTTGGAACTTTCCATCAGAATTCAGAACTTTGGAACTACTTGGTAATTGGCTTTGTATAATTCTCAAAGATAGTTTTCATTTTAAAAATATATTTACACAAAATATAAGCAGTAACTTGTTGCTTTAGTCTTAAAGCCCAGCGAGAGCACAGCTATATTGTTGATTTAATGCATTATAGGTTGCTAGCCAGTAATACAACATTCTCTAAATACAGAAAATTATAAATTCCAAAACTTTCAAAATGTTAGGCAGGTCGGACAGCCAGTTTCTGATTGTAAAATTGGACAGTTTTGACAATAATTCTATTTCATGCCAATCCTACACTGTATGTTACACGAGGGTTCATTTTTGGCATGATCGTAACTTATTATTTTGAGAAACCAATTGTTTCGACGAACAACGTCTTGCAATCAAATCATAAGACGGTTTCTTGTAATAATATTTGTATTTTGTTGTCCATTGTTGCAAAAAACATTAACTTCCAAGTCATTGACTTTGCAGGAGACACATCAGGAACTAGCTGATAGGTTAAAACTTCACGTGATAGAACGTCGCTCAGAGAGGGACTATTTCCCGGAGGTTGTAGCATCACCATCAGATGGCGCTGCTAAGGAAACTGTTGACCCTGACGAGGATTTGGACTTTAGAAGACTTTACTTTCCTGACCAGAAAGTGCCACATGTTGTGCCCCCAAAACCAGTGTATTATTACAATACCAGGCAGTATAAGCAGTATATCAAGCGTATACATAGATATAGGAATCAACCACACTGCGACATATTGAGGAGAGCAGGCATGTGGTGACACCATACGGTCCATACATCTTAGGAAATAACGTAAATGGACTTCATATACTCCTTGGTGGAACATTTATAATTTAGGACCACTCCTCTCAATCTACATGTGTTTGATGTTCACTTGGAAGATCTGCCATTATGGAACATGGAAATTATTTATTCTCTGAATGGATGTATTCACTTTTATAATGGATACAATCTAGTTTTCAAGTGATTGCCATTCCTCTTTGTACCATCATGTAGTCTGCTTTGCCTCAGTGATACCAAGTTTTGAGATTTAGAACGTAAGCATTTTGTATGGGTGTCTTCAAATACGACCAAAGTTTCCTGTATCAAATATTATAATTAGAATAAAATATCCTTACAAGTTACAACCTGCCATGTTCATGTTTTGAAGAATTAAAAATAAACTGAATTCTTTAATCTACAAGATCTAAATCCAAGATGGCTGACCTCAATCATTAGGCCAAGCAAATGGGCTCATAAAAGGCCCAAACATCCCAAAAATTGCAACAGTTTTTAAATTAGTCTTATATTATGTATTGATATCAGTTGGAAAACATATCAAAAATATAGAAAAATGTATGCAGTGGACAAATATGAAATTTCACTTCCTAGGTACCCCCTACAACCCTACCCCAAAATTGAGTATTGGTAGGAAACAATTTTTTGTTCCCAAATGGAATACTTTAGTCAAGTATTCAAGCTTTATTACGATAGATCACATATTCACAAATAATTAAAATATCGTTTTGATCATTTTTGAGACCAGTAATTGGTCATTTGACCCCAAAGTATAACAAAATAGGCCACAAAACAGGCATGTTAACACATATCTATTTAAATATTTTAGGATCAGTTTGTCAGAAAACCATGAAAAAAATCATGGTGTTACATATTCATATGAACTTCATATTTGGTGAGTATCAGACTTCTAACTTGTAAACTTAGGAAGAAAAAAATTATTTCTTTTTCATAGTTTTGCCCCGCCCACTAGGGGAGACTATAGTTTTGAATATCTATCTAGATATTTTAGGATCAGATTGTCAGAAAAGCATGAAAAAATCATGGTGTTACATATTCATGTGAACTTAATATTTGGTGAGTATCAGAATTCTAACGTGTAGACTTACGAAGAAAAAAAAATTCATTTTCATAGTTTTGCCCCGCCCACTATAGGGGAGACTATAGTTTTGATGACAAACTCCCACAATGCATGACATTCGTATTAGGGTCGGACATCTAAATCATTTATATAGGCTTGTCATCATCTAAAATACAGGTTTTGTTAAGGTTTATACCTTATTAGTATGAAAATAGGAATTATTAGTTGCACCAGGTGAAATGTTAAGGTGACCTCACTTTTAATTGATGAATAATTACATATCACCACTCTGATATTAGGGTATTTGGTAACTGCTCTATACTAGGCTTATCTAAATAATGTATTGTAGTTTCTGTGGAATTTAATATTGTTTAAATTATTAATTACAATCCGCAATTACAAAATTTGCATATATTTAAATTCATCAGATAAATAAATCATTACTTAAGAATACATTCCTATGGAACTGGATGTATAATGTTGTAGAAACGATTTTATGGTTATTAAAGGTAATTTAAACTGATAGAGCACATTTAAATCTCAGATATCTGGGGAGTCTTTCATTAATATAATTTCAGTGCGTAGGAATGATGGTAATTCTGTCTCAGTCAGGTTGGAAAACATTGAGTGTACATATGTGCTACACATTCAGAATCGGATGCAGATATCGTGATTGTGAAGACTGCAATCCAAACTGTTCCAACCTCAAATACAGTACTCATACAGTTCTCCTTGTGCTTCTCATTTATCATGCACAAAACACAAACTTCAACATTTTCTTCAAACCTGAACCAAAAGCAGCAACCCAAGAAACAAAATGTTGGATATAAATGAAATAAGATTGTCTTTGGGAAAAGTGGTCTGTGACAATATTTTCTTTATCCATGCTTTTCTGGGGTGTGAGTCCTCATTCTGGTTATATATGGAATTGACAAGAAGCTATCATTGAGGCAGATAAAAAAGAGTGAGTTCTTGAGAAGACAAGCGGTCGTTTTTAAATTACCAAAGGCACTGGTGATCCGCTCGAATACGCCCGTTTAGGTATGACAAAATGTCTAAACGTTGAATGTGCGATTTTTTTTTTCACGCGTTGTACGCAGAATCCCCACGATGTTTTTTCTCACAATCGTGTATCAGTATCACATGTTTTAGAAAATGTACATGTTTGCGCAAAAATAGCTTAGAAGACAATTCTTGATTTAATTCCTCACTTAAGTTACATAAACGGTTTGGGTTAAAAGTGCAGATCTTAACTGTTTATCGAAATACCATTTATGTGTGGAATTAAATCTACGATTCTGTTGTCTTCTGAACTATTTGTTCGCAAATATGTGCATTTTTTAAACATATGATACTGATACATGTTTGTGATAACAATGTTGTGGGAATTCTGCCTACAACGTGTGAAATAAGGAAAAAAAGAAAAATCATAATACCTTCGATGTTCTGACATTTTGTTACAACGTACTTAGGCTTCAAAAGTTCTATTAAAAGAGAGCAGCAAGATCTGAATTATTGCAGCCCCGTGTTCTTCCTCCAACGTCTGATGCTGCGGGATACCACAGTTATAGAGCGTACCTTCAGATCCAGGAGTGGAAGGGAAATAAACTGCCTCCATTATAATTGGGCTGGGAAATAAGCAGCGAAGCTTTTGTACCAATAACGCAGATGCGAGTAGGTAGTTACCAGATTCACCACCAGATGGTTCATTTGGGTCAGATAGCATGGCTGGTATAGTAGAAAGTTCCCTAACTTAATTACATCTATTTGCGTGGTTCAATTTTCATATAACCCTTATGTATCTAATAGTTATGCAAATTAAAATATGTCCAGTAAAAGAAAATGTTATCTGTCCAATACAAGATAAGATAATTCAATTTTTGTGATTTTGTAACATGGGGTCTATGGGGAATATTTCAAATATGACATCATTTTGAATTTTGAATATTTAATGAATATTTCTACTCGTATCTAGTCTATTGCCTACCTGCAGCTCCCCTCTCTTAGAGATCATCCATTGTGTGTGTAAGACAGATTGAACTTCTATGAGATGTACTTGAAGAAAATGGAATAACTGTTCTATGGCATGTAAGGTATGCAAAGGCATTTGTGCAAGTACCTCCATTACTGATCATGAAAATAATGATGACTAAAAAATGAAGGCTGCTGATAGGCAAGGTTGAAAGTGATTGTTGTTACAACATAAAAGTATTAAGCTTATTTAATCAGCATTATTTTTTGCTCTCTATAAGTAAGACACATATATGTAAGTTAAGATTACAAAATGAAGGCAGCATTTTTGATAATGAACATAACGTAATCGAACCATGCCCATGACCAGGGATTTACTTTGCGTTACACTAGTTAACTCAGTATAATTTATTAGCGTAGAAACCTTTTCCTCATTTTTTAGTGAATTTCATCTTGAAATCCAACATTCTACAGTTGAACTTCTTCATTTCAATTCTCAATATCACAGTGTGGTTAAGAACATCTTAGTCAAAAGCAACAATTTTCCTTAATACAGGGTGAGCTAAAAAGGGAACCCAAACAAATCTTAATAACCCAGTCCAGTCATCCTGCATGAATTTAGTGTCATATTTTGCAGAATTGAGCCTTGGTCAATGTATTATCAATCTAGTCTCAGTGGTCTATCTCTAGTGGTCACGATTTTATGGCCATTTTATACCATGCCATGAAATATGGGCGTCATGCCTGGAGGTCAACTTGAACGTATCGTCCGTAGTTTTTCAAATCAGGAGCATAAAAATCGTGTGTTATGACTCTCATATTCATTCTTATCTCTTGTTTTAATGTTTCAAGGGTTCTAAGTATAGAAAATAGGTCCACATATAAAAAGCTGGTGGTATTGATGTCCAGTCATTTAGGCACATTTCGATATTTTGAGCACATTTTGTAAATGGCCATAAAATCGTGACTATTAAGGATAGATCAATGACACTTAGTAGAATGAAAGAACATTGAACAAGGTAATTGTGCAAAATATGATGTTAAACCCATGCTGAATGACTGGGTTATAAACAAAAATTTGGTTGGGTTACCTTTTTTGGCTCATATTAATAACCTGATGTCAGGGACAGGGATATTTAACATTTTGTTGCCTTTTCAAGGATATTTTTAGAACACTGATTGTACTTAATTTCTAACAAATCGTTCTCTGTTTTAACAGAAAATGTATCAAATTGAATATAATAAGGGCAAAACATTTGATAATTTAGCAGTTATCAACTAAAAGTAGGGCTTCCCCTATATTTCACCTGCCATTTGCAGTTTTTCTACTTTTTTTTTTACATAATCCTTCCCTGAAAACAAAATAACTGTTTTCAGGACAAAATAAGCCTTTACAAATAATTTAGTTGTGCTGTTGAGTTCAAATATGACATATCTTGGAAGTAATTAAACAAAAGTAAGGTCACCCCAAAAGTTGGTGTGGTAAAATATTGAAATTTCAAATATTATTATCACCCTGAATATTCAACTAATGACCCTGATACTGATCAAATACAATTTTCAGGTATATATTAACCTCCTTGATTTTTTTCATGCAATTCTGATGAATTGATACAGAAATAAATACATTGTTATATTAAATTCGGGCTATTTGATGGCTTATTTTAAGATATTTGGGGCTAGAAATGCCAATTATTGCACTCAAATAGTTGGTTAACAATTTTTAGTTGCTCTTATGTCAGTAAACTATCATAATATTACTCATTTAGTTGACAAGAGCATTTAATTTTGAAATTAAAAAATATTTACAATCCCATACTCAAATTTGGAGGGGGGTACCTAGAATGTGACATTTCATATTTGTCCACTGCATATATTTTTCTATATTTTTGATATGTTTTTCAACTGGTATCAATATACAATAAAGGCCTAATTTAAAAACTGTTGCAATTTTTGGGATGTTAAATTTCCATTTGCCTAGCCTACATCAGGCAGTTGAAGACTAAGGACTAAAAAATCCAACACATCATTTGGTCATAGTCTTTTTGTTTAGTCAATCCATTTGCAGGCCTGTCAACTTGGGAACACATTACATGAGTGACTTACAAATGTTGAACACCTTCCTTCAATTTGTGGACACCTTGGTCCAAAATTGAACATCTTGGCCAAAATATTGGAGACCTCAATTTTTCTGCATGCGAAAGTAATGCATTTGCTTTTTTTCGGTGTTCATTTTTTAACGTATCTCCGATTTATAAAAATCAGATTTTTTAAACATCAACATAATGTGT